TAAAATAGCGACAACAGGCGTTGCAACTGCAATGCAATTTTCAGCAACTTTAGAGCGTCTCTCTGTTCTGCTATCTAGAAAATTACGTTCTCAATGCTATAATAATACAACGTTCTGTCGTACAATATACATGGATGTAATAATGAAAGAATATGGCACACAATGTTCCCCACGTGTCGTCGACATTAGCGAGCCAACCAAACGAACACGCTTCCAAGTCCTCGGTGCCCGCGATTCGGCTCGGCACTTCAGTCAATTAAAATTCATTCTCGCGAGGGCCGGGTACGGGCCAGAGAAACGCACAACACCAAGCGGAATTACGTACACGTAACTATACGCTTCGATAAGTACATATATCTACGTAATAGACATTTCTCGGAATTTATCATCGATGTGCCAGTCGGGTCAAGGAGCTTCGTTTCCTCTCATTGTCTCTTGCGTTGCTCATCCGCGTTTCTTTCTCTTTCTTATTATAACTATCGCCGCATCTGTTAATTCTCCTTGCTCGATTAGGATGAGGTCGTCTTGCGGTCTCTGCGTCAGCATGCGTCAATTGAACACTTCTTTCATGGACATCCCCGACATCATTGCGTGTCCGACAATCGTTCGAAAGATCGACCGTGCCTTCTGGAAAGATTGTCGAAAATTATCTGTTTAGATTCCTTGGGATATTCTCGTTTCGCAGAATAAGAGAGTCAAAGGTGGGGAGAGGGGGGGGGGGGGGGGGGGAAGAAAATTGAGAGGAAACTCTAAGCGGCAGAGAACGAATAAAAGAGATGGGCATTCATGAGCTTCTCTGTCCCGGCTATGTAAATATCGAACATCCGGCCTCTTGGCTCCGGCCTTTCGCTCTCCGAATCGCTGGCCGATATTGCTCTTTCCACTCCAACGTCGCATAATTAATTTTTGTCCATCGATATTCCGCGTCTGTAACTCTTTTCAACGATGCAGCGACGTTAATATCGCGTCTGGCCTCCGGGCTATCGGTTTCCCTTAAAAACCAAATATGAAATATGAAAGGTGTAACGGGCCAGCCACATATGTATGTACATAGGGGATATATATGTATGCATCTACCGGCTGGAAAACTCACAAAACCCTATAGGGACCTGCTGATTACTTACTTACAGCT